ATAATTATACCTCCACCCCTCTCTATCCAATCCATCAAACAATAACAAGGCGCGATTAAAGAAACCACATTTGTTTACCAATTATTTTCTCATAATTACCGACTCTCGTTAGCACGTTCTATCAGTGACAGCTATCTCAAAGTTGCATTATTCATTATACGAAGCGTAACTACTAAGTAGTTAGATTTTAAGAAGTATTCATTTTATAGTGAATGGAAAGGTATGTAATGTAGATTAATTATAAGTAGTTATGCGAGTATACCAGTGATCGTATCTAACGACCATGATCCGTAGGTGCACAAAAATATGATTTTCCATTAAGTAAGTACTTACGTAGTCAGTGCATGCAGATAAAATATATCATTATTTCGACTATAGTAAATTCCCTAAAGTTCCGTGTGATTTCCTATTTCGCACCCTAATTTCAGAACAAGAATCACAAAAATATTTGACCTGAGATTCAATAAATAGGTAGGTACTATATTTGGTCTCGCATTTGGTTATTAGGTTAGATAAATTATAATTATTAACTGTTTCTTGTTCATTAAACTGTCAAACACCGCGAGGACACCGGTGACCGGTGACCGCAACCTATTGTTCTTTAATTATGTCTATAATGACGGTACTCAAAGGGTTGGCAGTACCCGTATCCATGGACCACATTAAAAATGCGCAAATATTGTTTTACTCGTATAAAATAAAGAGAAAAAAGAATTTAGGTAACAGGCGGACAGGTAGGTAAAACGTAGATGAAAAATAAATTGTATACCTAATATGCCTGGTTTACCCACATTTATTTACTGGAACAACATGTGTTATTACATCTAGCAGAAAACTCTTACATTTTCCTTGAATCACCGCGAACCCATTATACTTTCTTTCCCATAAAATCATGCAAATTTATTATGGCTATCACGCAGTTATCTTCGCAATATTGTGTTGAGATCAACCTACACAACGTAACCCGTTTTTTATGTTGTAAATAATGTAGCACTTTATATAGCAAAAAGAAATAGGCGCGTGTCTTTGCAGTTCACAGTGTAAAACTATTTATTTATTTTTTTTTATTTATTTACACTACTTGTATACAATGGCGGACTTAATGCCTAGTGGCATTCTCTAACAGTCAACCTTTTTTTTTAAGGGGGGAAAATCATCGAATGACTGCTCCCGCCTGGGTGAGGCGGGAGGGAGTGTCAGACTCTTACTGACTAAAAACCACCCCGTTCCTTCTCCTGCATGTCGAGCCGGAGCCCCGGTTACCCGTTAGGTTCTCCGCGACTCCGAATAACAGTCAACCTTAGGGTGATGCAGAGAGGCACAATAGTAGGTGTAAAAGTTTAACATTGTTGTGAGTTTTGAACTATCTACTTTTCACAAGATGTAGGTATAATACTGATCAATATATATCGTAAATAAACTTGTTAATTGTAACTTGTTTCATAATATCACAGGCATACCATGTGACGCAATATCCTCGTTTACGCAAAATATGTCTACTTATTTATCTGATTTCCAAAATGATCATGGTCGTACTATAATCTTTCGTATTTATGGTGATTGCAGCTTATCTGTTGACATAAAGATCTGAAAAATAAATTCAGAAGTTTCGACTTGGTACTCAACTACTCAAATAGTTTATTTTATAAGTAGGTATGTAGATGCATAATTTTAGCAAAACTACCTTGCTTAATTCTTGTTTATTAATTAGCAAGATTTAAATGAAATATGACTTGTTGTTTACATTTTTATTTTTACTTACAAAATGAGCAGCGGGTAAGTTTTCACGCTTTCTCTGCGTCTGCGCAGTGTCGTCGTGCGCACTGTCACGATTTTATTTAATCTTTTCAAAATATTATTAATAATTAGCTTTATTTTGTGTAATTTCACTTCGCTTCTTTGATATCCGATCCGAATAACGTTTAAAAGATTAATTGTATTGCTTGTTAGTCATTATGAATTGAATTTATTTGTCCAACTTATATAATATTCTTTTTGTGAAATTGGTTTAAGCATCTCATGCTTTTTTTTAGGAAATTTAAGTTTTTTATAGAGAATAGCTGAATGGCATGACATGCTACGATATCGATTCCACTACGAGGGTTTGGGGGACTTACAAGAAAAAGATAAAGATTCTGGAAGAAAACATGTAGTAGTATTAATGCTTGTCACCAATAGTATAAGCTAAATCTGGATACTTAAGCCGAACCAATGGTGTATCTTTGGCTGCTAGGTTATGTTAGTGCGCGCGTAGAGTTAGCCGCGACCGCGCACGCTGCTCATGAAGAAGAACCCCGCTGTGGTTCGAAACTAGTAGAGCTTTTCTCAGTTTATTCACGTGAGTAGCCCGCGATTTTAGTTAGTATGTTTCATGATAGTTATTATAAAAACATAGTGGTAGTTTGTTCATACCACAGATATATTAAAGAAGACTTTTTAATATTTCTGTGGTTCATACCTTACATACTGCATAGACAAACGAACAAACAAACAACAGTAACATTGTCATCATATCATGCGGTCACTCAAGCAGCTAATCTAAGCGATTTTACATTCTTCCTCACTTTTTTGCCATCTCATTGCCAGATTGTTCGATCCTAATTAAGAGATCATTATATCGACTGAACATTCCGCTGTCGTGCACAGAAATAATGATTTTTCAATTGTAATACCTATTGCCTTTTTATAATCTGTAAACATAACTGTCTCTAAAATCTATATTGGTGAAAAATAGACACGTAATATTTCCTGATTAGGTATTTTTTCCACACTAAAAGATGTGAACTTTATAATCGAATTAACAGCGTCTTGTCATTCAACACGTAGTACTTAGTAGAAGTGTTTGCAGATCTCTCTCGCTTTTTGTTTGTTTTGATGATTTGCAAATTAACTTAATAATCATACATAACATTCAATGCTTGATCATTATGGCGTATTAATGGCGAAATTGCAAACTCGTTTGCAAATCCTGAATCAGTCAAGTTGTAGATCGTACAAATACTTCTTCTCTAAGTACGTGTGGAAACTGGAAACCGAATCTACAAACACAACATTCGATTACTTAGCAATTGCATAAACTAAAAACATGAAATCCAGCCGATTCTTGAATCCAAAATACGCCGTAATCACACGAAGTAGGTAATTACTAAGATCACTTTCGACAATCACCGTGCGAGTTATGAGTCGGACACTCATATCCGTGAAATGTAGCTGTACCTACTCCGAGTGTAAGAACTTTCAAAAGAAATTTTATTTCAAACACTAAGATCGCTTAATGCTTAGTAATCAAAGCCTCCGCGGTTTATGAAAGTAGTTTTGAAGATGTTGTGATTGGCTTATGCCGATGCAGTTTAAATAATATCACTTTACAAATATGGCGTTCTAATGTTTTTGAAGTTGTAACTGATGTCACTGTCAAACCGCCATGTTTGTTTTATTTTTTTAATTGCATCACATTTTTGACGTCGATTGCTATTGAATGCATACATAATAGATTTTTTAGAAGTAACCAAACGATAGAGATGCAATTTTGAAATTCTGTAAAAAGTAATACCTACATAGGTAGATATTCCATTTCGGTTGAAAATAATTATTTACTTATAATTTTGCGGTTCAAAATACACCTTGTCTAATGCGGAATTTGATATAGGTAACAAAAAACTCGTTGCCTTTTGCGTATGCCAGAAACTGGAATCATCCCCATTGTAATCACGCCTAACAACTACTAGATCACCAACCTTATTATAAACAGTTATTATAACAATTACCCGGACCAGTTGGTAGAAGCAGATTCTTATAATGAGCTTTGTAATCAAGATCTGGCATATAGCAACCCTTACTGCTAGAGTAAAACGGGTACTTTTAAGCGGTGGTGTACCGTTACAGTCACGGTCACCGAGCCGGCTCGCGTGTTACATAACCACAAGTAAATGTATCTAGCATTTACTGTTATATTTATATATTAGCTACACGGTATGTACTCCCAGTATTTATTATGATTGCCCGTCAGAAATTAGGCGTCATTTTATGATTTATTTTTAATAAATACTTGATTTAAAAAGTTATGATTTTATAGTACTTGATTGTACTACGTTTAAAGTTTAAAATCAATAGGATTTCCTTTTATTTAGCGTGTAATAAAAAGATATTTTTTAGACTGTAAGTGAAATCCACTCTTGCATATTTAGATTTTTTAGTTTATGCGTACATTAGGAAGGTCTAATACTCGATTTCTTAATTTTATGTTACGCATATCGTTTTGCACTTACTAGGTGGCGCCTATGTCGAGCACAGTCATGTTAGTCATATCACTGTTACAATCATGTTTGAGTACTTTATGATGAATTGGTGATATTATGTAGCAGTTTATTTATTTAATGTGCTCTAGTGAGTGCAAGCGTGGTAGGCTATAGAATGAAGCATTAAAAGTATTAATATAAGTTTACAAATACAAAGCTTCTGGATGGTCCATCTCTCAAAGTGACCATTTTCTTTAGTGTGCGCATAGTTTAAGACGAAAAGAGCAAGCACAGTCTACCTTGCGCCATTATTCTGAACATTACAAAACTAATTACTATTCTAACAACATTGTTGCATCCAAATACATAGGTTTTTGAAATTGATGATTCTTATTTATGATTCGTCACGATTACTCAATCTGCTGTAACACAGTGGGAATTTCGGTTTGAGATTTCATAAGCTGAGTTCCATCTTAGCTTCTATTGTGTTGTTTAAATAAAAATAGATCTAATCATTACAGAAGACTTTATCCTACAAATTACGACCTTTCACCCACATATTTAATATTGTTTTAGGTGTTTTGATATTGATTTTGTAGAATAAGTCCTTCTAGTTTTTGGTAAATCAATTCCAAAAGGCTAACTAAGGTTGAACTCTGTACATTGTGTTACACAATACACTTTCCACATCAACTTCAAAAACCTTTACAAAAATTAGACTGTGCAAGCTTTAACAATGGAAAACGGCTGGTCGATTGGCAGAGGTGTGCACAGGTCCCGGAAAGAGATGCAGCTGGTAACGTGATCCCAGCCTGGAAGCGTCAGATGCTGGCGAGAAGAGCTGCAGAAAAGGCTCGGAAAGACCTGGAGAAGGAGCTAGCGGGAGAAGCGGAGAGGCGAAGGGCTGCTGCCGTGCCAGCATGGAAGAGGCAACTACTGCAGCGAAGAGAAGAGGCCGAGAACAGGTTGAGGTCCGTTTTCATTTGGATAGGGCGGGGAAAGGGCATTTAGAGGAAAGGGAGAATAATGAGGTGGTTTCTGTTGGTTGTTTTTTCTAAGTAGCAACTGATTTATATTAAAAGGGTTTTAAGTTTGCTCTAAGGATAGATCAAGAGAAATATTGATACAGAACAACATTTAGCAAAATTTCAATGTACAATAATCTAACATAAAGTTTTGGTGTTCCAGAAATTCCCTGTACACTCCCAAGGTAGAGGAGACGAATGGACAGCCAAACGGTGAATGGCGATCGTACCCGAGCGGGACTCAGCGTGCTGTGTCCATAGACAACATCAGCATGTGCTACGACACTCCTGCGCAGCCCATAAGGGCGCCATCAGAAGCAAAACTGTCTAGTGATCATTGTAACGGTAAGAAGTTGAAAGATGATGAAGTATTATTCATGCATTCGTGGAAATAGGTAGTTGAGGATTTTATTGGTAGTTAAGATTAATTTAATTCATAGTGATGATTTTTCCTAATTTTTTTCTCCACATGATCCAAAATTTTTTAACAAATCCATTTTTGTCGTTTCAACAATTGAAAAATTTGTTAAATCATATGAACTAGTTGAGCCTACATATGAACTAGTTGAGAGTTTTGCACTATTTATATTACTTTTGTTACTATGTTTTCGAGACTCAGTATCAAGTATGGGAGAGTACAGTATCAATAGAGTCATGTGAGGCAACTGTACGCAATTTTTAGGAAATTGCTCCCAAAATATCCCATCTAAGTGTGGGAGAGCCATGCTTCGGCACGAATGGGTCGGCTCGACCGGAGTGATACCACGGCCTCACAGAAAACCGACGTGAAGCAACGCTCGCGTTGTGTTTCGTCGTGTGAGTGAGGTTACCGGAGGCCCAATTACCTTCCCCTTCCCCAATCTCCCCAATCCCTGAATCCCCAACGATCCTCAAACTCCTAATCCCCAAAAAGCCGGTGACGCACTTGTAACGCCTCTGGTGTTCTAGGTGTCCATGGGCAACGCCGATTGCTTACCATCAGGTGATCCGTCTGCTCGTTTACCGGCTTATATATTCCATAAAAAAAAATCAAGTTTACACACACGGAAACTTACATTACTTAACTGTTACCATTTTACTTACAGGTCATACCACAACTAACGGTAAGCATGAAGAGGAAGAAGAAAAAGCGAAGATAATCCCTTGGCGAGCACAACTGCGCAAGACCAACAGCAAACTAAATCTTCTTGAATAAAGTACGTAATGAGTGCCGCCCACCGAACGCGTGGACCGCGCGGTCAAACGGGCATAGCTGTAGGATCGTCAAACATAGTCAATAGGAAGAAATAATGCTCAGTTGCTCTCTGATAGATAACGACGTAAAATTTAATTTATTTAGGTTATTTTATGTAATTATTGCTATTTATTACTTTTTATACACACACACTCTCAACACGACCAAACAAGTGAACGCCGAGCGGTTTCACAAGCGGTATAAGATACAATAGAAAATACATTGTGTCATCCGCGGATACGCGTTTAGGCTCACGACGGGGTAAACTAAATTAATTAATTTAGTCGCCTATATATCGCAGCATTCGGAAAGCAACACCATGAAGTGTTCAGTTATATTCGTTGCTCGATATAAATATACAAGCTACATAACGAGTCCAAATAATTGTAGAAATGATTCGAAATGATGTATTTTATTGATAGCCGACGTTCTACGGAAGCAGTGGAGTGGACAAGATTATTTCCGAGTCGATTAAGTAGATTTAGACTAAAGTAGTAACTCCAAACAATGTTTTGATAATTTAGTAATATATTTTATATAGAAATTTTTCTGCATATTAACTTTTATATATTACTAGTTTCAACTAAATTTTCATATGTATCTGATAGGAATAGATACGTATTTTAAATTTAGTACATAAAATTTCGTTAACGATTTTTTTAAATTGATATGTAGGTACTTATTTTTACTATAGTCATGTAAAAATGTAAATCTACTAGATTAGAATATTTCTAGTTATTCGTATAAAATATAAATAATTATGGTCTATACTACTTACTTTGATCTATACGGAATAAATATTGTGTGAGAAAGGACACAAGTTACTTTCAATCCTGAAGACATTACCGTCCATTCTGTGAGAATTTATGACTTGTGAAAATATCGAAACGATGAAGTAACATTTGCTCAAAAAACCTAAGTTTATCAAGTTTTATGAACCAGAATATAAATGATTATAACGAAAATATATTTAAAAATATATTTAAGGTTTTTTTTTATAATGCAAGTGATACCAATGTTGCAATACTAGTGTGTAAGCTTATAAAGTGGGATTCATCAGACATGTGTGACCTGCTACATCTATGTGTGTTGATTTTATTCAGTACTCCTGAATTCTTATTGTAATGTTGTTAAATAAAACGCTATTTGCTTAAATATTTGTTTTATTTTATTTGTCCATATTCTGGTGAGAGTTAAAATGGCGGGTGTGTGATGATAATTGATAGCAAAGTAACTTACACCAGGCACCAAAAATGTACTTACCTAAAAGTTACTATTTGTTACAATATTACAAGTACCTACCTACCTACCCGCCATCTTGACGTCAATACGGCGTCGTTTTTGTTCAAATGATTGCTTTTTTGTAATGTATACGTTTCGGACGTTCCCCGATTGCAAACTCTAGCAATTGTAGACCGATTTGCAAAATTCTTTTTTGTTTGAAAGATTACCTTTGCCTTTTGAAAAAAAAAATCAATGCAAGGTTTCTAGTCCTAGTCTCTGCCTTTTGGTACCTAATGTTTCCATTCACTTTTAAGAACTGATTTACTTATCTACTAGTTATGAAGTTGCTCAGATTGCAGGAAAAAAGGAACGAATAATATGTGTACCGTAATAAAAACAAAATTTATAACACTTCCACACGTACCTATATTGAATGGTAAAATTAAATGCGTGTAAACATAAACTTTATGAATATCGTAAAATGAATCGAAATTGGATCAAGAATTAGTCATGGTATATTTTGCATCGAGGTTTAAAGGTATGTTCCATATTTAAATTAAGCAAAAATTGTTTATCCACGTATCTGGATTGGTAACTTTCACTAGTAAATTGTAGTAATTAATATGACCAGAAATCAAATAATTACCTAAGTTAGGATACATATTTTAATTGATTCCGTCTGCAAGTTCTCCGTTAGATTAGTGCAGCAAAATAAGAACTTTAAAACGGTAATTAAAATGATTTAAATAATTAAAATCTAAATGATTTCATTTACAGTTTTGTTACTATTATGCGCGTTACCAATTTCGTCGAACAACATAGAGAAAATCTCAGTTAAAGGCCTCCCAAATGTTGGCATAATATCGGCTTTTCTAGAACAATTCATAAAACCTTACATAGAAAGTACACATCATGATAATAAGGATAAACCACGCACTGGGGGAGAATCTAAAGTAGATAAAGCTATTAGACTTAAAATGTCCAAGTTGAAACCTTTGCTTGAAGATGATCAATGTAATTGTGATGTACAAGCAGACAAGAAGAACGAAACAGAGAATAACTTAACACTAAATGGTAACAATGAAACCACAATAATAGAGTTTGTGACCAACAATAGGAGGTCCAAAGATAGGTCATCGTTTAAGGAAAACAAACAGGAACTGGACCCGTTCCAAAGGAATATCAAAAGGTACAAAGCATTGAGACATATTATAAAGCAGGCGTTGAACAAAGAAAATGCTGCTAATTCGACGAAGACACTCATTACAAGAACATTGGACGAGATGATAGCAATGCTAATAGAAAGGCAGTGTACGTGGAAGAGTGTGGACACCACGGGCCTGAATAACCATATGTTCAAACATCCAAAGAACATACGCAGATCTATGAAACATTTACAAAAGTTATCCAACAAAGAATGGATGAGTTTACGAACGCAGTATTTGAATTTCCTTAGGTTTACAAATGATCAGAAGAACTCATTTATAAAACAGTTCCACGAGTTCTTTTCATCGGTCATAAACAACACTTGGGACCTGACTAACTATAGGGTACGATGTCAACTTATCAAACTTGAGGACAAGCCTAAAAAGGTGTCGTTAGGAATACGGAATAAATATACAGTAAAAGAGACGACTCAATGTGATAATAATAACGTATGTGTATGTGAAGATGAATTGAAATATTTTTTCAAGAATTTTCACAGTCACCTTAATGATACGGCTGTTGGTGTGTTTAAGGATTATACAGCCATGTATATCAGAGACTTTACAGGAGAAATAGAAATCGACAAAGATATAGTAGGGTCCACTCTAGATACCCTTAGTAAAACCGCTGTAAAGAAAGTTTGTAAGATATACAGGACGCAGCTAGAAAATTTCACGCTGGACGAGGAAAAAGGGAAGAAAGCTAATTTAGATAATATCAACAACTTTATAAAATCAACAAAAGGTGAGGTGAAGACTATCCTACTCCAAATCGTGGATTACGAACTTAACGCAATGAAAACAAAATTATTTAAGACTGTCAAGGATGACCTGGTTGTTAATTTGAAAGCGGACTTGGATAATATGGAAACACAATATACGGAGAGGCTGTGTTCTCTCTTTGCGTCGTGTAATGGTAAAAGTATTGCTGGCGCTCCTGTCGCTGCAAGAAGAGTGGACGATAATGATTGGAAGTTTAAACCTAAAGATGTTGACAACGTTTACGTTAAAGTACAATTATCTTTGGACGACGAATTTAAGGATTCTTTAGCGAGCATTGCAAAAATGAGACGGTGGGAAGGTAAAGATTTGACATACAGGTCTAACAGGGGTCTGCCAGTCAGATTAGAAGAATTCAGACAAAGTAATCTGAGTGTTACTAGGACTACACTTAGTTCGACTACATGGGTGGAAATGACTAGTGCTAAGATACTAGCTCCTAAGCACCCAACTACAAAGACTACGGTGTTCAAGGTTACTAGAACAGCGACTCCTGAAAATACATTAATCGGACATCACGTAACTAAAAGAAAACATTCCAGACGAAAAGAAAAAATAAATGAGGTTTATAAAAAGTAGAATTTAGTCATTTGTAGTAAAAGATGGTGATTGAATGATTGTTTTATTGTTAAATATAAATATTTTTACATTTTTAAAATTACAAAAATATCAGGCAGTCTCTTTATATATTTATTTTGTTTGTCTTACAATTTATTATTGTCTTAAAAATCTTTTACGCATCTATCAGTGGTACAATACGTAATTTAAGAAATGAGTAAACATAATGAGAACCTCCATTTAGGGGAGACATTTAAGATTACGTTTTTTCTATTAAAATCAAATGTAAATTAAAAATTAAGTTATTGTGCTACATTAGATGCGTAAATGGCTTTTAATTCGAACTTTTTCGTATAAATAAGTACAATGGAAAAATCACCATAATTATAAGTAAGACTGACAATTATATTACCAAACTACCATTCCTTATACTACTTGATTTATACACTGAAGTCAAGCAAGTTTAATCCGAGTAAAGAATAAAGGTTAATCAAGTGATCGTTTTATTTATTGATTGGATTGCCATCTTGTTAATTATTCAATGGTATTTTCTCTATATTTATATTATTACAAGATTATGGAAATATGCATTTGCAAATATCGGATTTAAGGTTAATATAACCAGTGCTACAGATGGCGGCTTACTGGTTAGAAGCAGTACTAGGAACGTGGTGGTTTTTAATCAGTAAGAGTCAGACACTCCCTATCGCCTCATACAAGGCGGGAGAAGCCACAGGATGATTTTGGACCCTCAAAAAAAAAAAAAAGTTCAAATGTTATAAAGGTACTTCACAACTGGGAGAAGCTCAGTGGTCTAACTACTGCACTTTAATGTATTACCTTTATATATTAATCCGTGGTATGTCGGAACGTAGATATACGCGAGACTCGAATGTGTTTTCTATTGAGTCTCATATGCTGACAGATAAGCGGTTAAGCCTGCGGCTTTACCTGCTGGAATATTACAAGTTCTTTCCCTAGTAAGTTCCGATTCCATAGAAATCGCAACAAAAACTAGATGGGAAGTGTTTGTATATTGATTTCACAGCTTTTTTAACTGAAACAAACAGACAATCAAATTCTCCTCCTTTTATAATACTAGTATAGATAAATATTATACATTTCATTCAACTATGGCAATGAAAACAGATAAAACTTGCTTTACCTAATGAAGAATGTCACAACACAATCTACATAATGCATGGTCAATATGTATCAGTATATATGATGGGAAAGTGCTGCACTCTACCACTGGACCAGGCTATGGTGAGACAGGCTCCCTCAACGAAGTTCTGTTGAAACGCTATGGTTAAAGGAACTTCCACGTCCACGCCGCAGACGAAACAACTGCAATTAAATATTTTGTTATTAAAACAAGTATTATTTTGTACGAAATTATTTTGTCTTGGATTTATTAAAAAGGATCAAATTAGAAACACGCTCAATAGACGAGCATGCATTAAGAGATTGATGAATGTAGATGTAGTGAAAGAGTACCATGTCAGAATCATGTCATTTAGCGCTCCAATTTTTTTTTTATGTTGCCCCACACGTGGATTTTCTCCTGTGTCGTGGGTGCGTATACAAACATACAAGTTCACATACACATGAAACTCAGACCTGAACAATTTGTGGATAACACAAAGAGTTGCTCCGTGCGGGAATCGAACCTCCTGCACGTTGCGCGGCAGCCGGTTGTCCAGCCACCGCATCAACAGCGAAGTCGAATTGTCTCTGCCTACCGCAATGTATTTATATTTTGGTTGCAATAAGCACATTAATATCATACATTTAGTCTCATACATTCCATTCATATTGTTTCTTTCGGTAGTTTAAAGTTCAATGACCAAATTCTGTTTTTCCCTCTCATTTAGTGGATAAGCAGACATGATCAAATTGTGTTATTGTTATTGTAGCCCTTTATGATTTGATATTAAACATTGGCAGAGTTGTTACCTCTATCACAAGTAAATTAATCCACAAATGTTGAAGGAAAATATGGTTCTAGAGTAAAACTGTGTAATAGTTTACAAATAAGTTTTTTTCTGAGATCAGTACCAATCAAACAGTGTTTTAAATCATAGACGTACAGAGCACTACCATAAATAAAAAAAAATACATAGCTCGATACAGATAAAGACAGCGCCACTAGTGGCGAATATAAAAACTAGTTTGCGTTCTACTTTCATTGCAATATTTTAACAAATGTATAAAACCTATCAGATCAACGAACCCACACGATGGTGGGGCAACAATTTCCTTTTCATTCAAGAATAAAATTAGTATTTTTATTATAAATATCGCGAAACAACCTTAATTAACTAACAATAACGCTTTACTCACGAACATTTACTGACTAGGCTGCGCGACGTCGCTGCGTCCGCGCACCCTACTCATTGCGAAGACTCCCTTTGTGTACAAAGCTAGTAGAGCTTTTCTCAGTACAATTACGTGAGAAAACCGTTAATTTTAATATTAAAATTAGTATCTAACATATTAAAAAAACAAGCACAACTCACCAGGGTGTAATCTTCAGCTGTAACATGAGTCTAGTGGTGCAGAAGACAGTGACTAGATGAGACTCCTCAAACAGGATAGCCAGGTATTTGCCTGTGGGATCCCAACACATGTCCAGTATTGGTCCTCCTACTGTGTCTCCTGAAGGTAGCTCCACCTTCGTCACGTCGAGGACTGGTAGAGCTTTGCTGGTTTGAGATCCTGAGGACACAAGCACAAGCAGTGCAGACAATAAGTAATTTAATTTTTTTTTATTACATAATCATAGTGAATTATTGTTACTGCCTTCAAAGGTAAATACTAAAACAATGTTAAAAACAAATAAATAATCTACTTTGTACCTGTAATTACGACACCTATGAAGTAGGTAGGTGCAAAGAGAAGTAATCTAAAAAACTTTTTTTTTGTGAAACAGGAGGCAAACAATCAAAATTGTATTTAATGACGTCGTCGTTTTATGACGTCATTATATCTAAGTAGAGAACTTCGAATCTTAACATCGCCTGAAATTCGTTCTCTCTCAAAAATATAGTGTGGATCCCTTTTTTTTGCATGGTAAACGGGTAATAGTTAACATAAGCAAAATCCTACCACTCATAAGTCCAGTGTTGGTGAGTGCATACACCATCGGCTCCCCCTTGGCAGCAAACAGCAGGATGTCTGCGGGTCCCCAGCACGCAGCCACCACGTGGTTACCGCGCGCACACCAGCGATCTGGTTTCCAACGTTTTGTGTCCCATACTCTGAAAATAAGAAAAACAAAAAATACATAAAAATAGAACATTTTTTGGCATAGGAGTTACAATTGCATTGCCAGTTGGGGATTTGGAGATTGGGGACTTACACAAACATTTTGTTAAATATGTTTGAAAATCCATTTAACAACATGCAACATGTTGTTGTTATATATTGTCACAGAATATCTATATCAACATAGTAATATGTAATGAAATATTAAGAATGTTTTAAAATATATTCCAAAGACATTTCACTTGAATGAGATATTATCTAACAGCACATATACATGAAGGAATGCCATACTAATATGATTGTGGCTATGAAAATATTATTTTTGATATTTTCTTGTGTTTCTCTTTGTAGTCAGTTTTTAGCGATTATGACTTTTTTTGAATACATTGTGCCTCAAGCAATAATTAACACCAGTATAGTTCAGCTAGTGCCCTGGCTCAGAGTAGGAGTTGACACTCTCACACTCCTCACCAAAGGTGGAATGAGTCATGTTCAAAATAAGGTTAGCATTAGAACTACAAAATATAAAGTTTGCAGAAATTCTAACAGGAATATGCAGTACCCGTCCATTCAAGCACATTCATTTTATAAAACAAATTATGTACATACATACCTAAATATAATAGAAGAGGTAGCCGCAAATACTTTACTAGCATCAAATGACCAGCGTGCGAAGATGATGCCTCCCCCTGCAACTCTTCGAAGCGGTACTGCTGTTTCCATGGAAACATCCCATATTAACATGGAAGTGTCCGCTCCAGAACAGCTGATTAGTAAATCACCATTTGGAGACCAGCTCACATCTGTCACTGGACTGTGACCGGGCCTGAAATAGTAAATCATAATACAAGTTGTCATTAAAATGTGAAAATCTACATTTAATGATTCATGTATTTCTTATTTATATTTTTATTAGAACAATCTTTATAAAATAAACTCTGGAGTACATATTTCACACAAAATTTAATAAAATAATAGCATTATTGACAACAAATTTTTTCTTGACTAAAATGTATTATCCATAGATAAAGAATATGAGTTAGTTGTTTGAAGGAAAGTATCCATACCTTTTCAAAACCACTGCATTGCTGGAAGACGGCTTAGTGAACATGGAATTAGGGTCTACAGTCCACACTATGACTCCCTGTTCACATCCTACTGCTAGCTCGGAAGCTGAGAACGGTCTCCAACTCAATGACGACACATGTCCTTGTGCTTTACATTTCAATGTAGACACAAATGCCACCTCAGAACAATATATTCTCACATTGTCATCTACTGTTGCCACAGCCATCTTAGTAGTATGAGGATGCCAAGCTATACATTTTATAGGTGCATTACCCCAGTTTCTAGTCCTTGAGTAATTAGAAACGATTTTAGGCCCAATATCCTTCAAATGTGGCTGCAAGAAGTATCTAAACGCCGAGAAAACGTTAGCAACTTTTAACACATATGCAGCGGCGTAGGCAAGGGCCTGGCTCTCGCGGTTCACTGAGGGATCAGCAGCCACTGCCAGAGCCTCCAAAAACCCCTGCTTGTACCACACACTTGTAATTTTTTTGAGTAAGTTATCCTCAACGTCAATGTACATAGAAATGTTTTCATCAGTCGTCCTGTGATGATGTATGTCTCGTGTTACATTGATTACGGGATGGTTTTTCGTCTGGAATAAAGGTTTGTTAGTTATCAACTAGATTAATAACGAATAAATGTAATGTAATGCAGATAACCTTACCGAGTTTGTAAATGTTGATATATTGCCGTAACGAGAATTGGCACAGCAGTAAACTTCATTTAATTTACAAAATGGGATTTCCTCTGCCCCTGGGAGCTCAGGAAATCCGTGAAAAGCTGACATTTTATTGTTTTACACTTGTATTATTCACATAAAACGACCGGCGCCTTTGCAGTTTTTAAATATTTATGACAGCTGTCAAATTATGTTTATGACATTTGAATTGCATTGCCATATACGAAAATTAGAAAACACGTTCATAACTCCATTTATTCAGTGAGTTAATTATGTAAACGTCACATTTTATTATTCTCTAATGATTTAAAAAGAAATGACGTATAAAATCATCGAAAAATAAAATAACTCAAAGTTTTATATTATTATATCATTGATAGAAATTTTAATTTTTTAACACTATCTTCTTCAACACGATTAAATCAGCATCAAAGAACTACCAAGATGTTTATTGCTGAACATAGGCTATCTCCAACAATGACTGACTCAGATGGTGAATGATCAGTGGCTGGAAACGACCTGTATCTAAAGTCTCGTCAGCTAAATGATGAATTAAATAAAGTCTCTTATAAATGAAGCAATTCTAGCATCCCATTGTTAAATTATATTTTTATGTTTTGGTTCAGGTCGCTTCTTTTTTATTCTGTGCATGTCTGAAGCTGAATTTCACAAAAGTAAGTAACTTTGAGACGTGCATGTGAAACGTGAGCCGTAGGTACCTATATACAGCTGTAGAGTAAACAGGAATAACACGCCCCCTTGAAGGAGAAGCGACGAAAATCGAAAATAACCGAAAAAATAAGTAAAATTTAATATTATACCTTTAGTAAATAGGTATTATTTAGAAATCACTGAAAACGGCGGAGGAAAGCATCGTGTGGAAACCTGGACTTATTTTTTAATTATACATAAGTTTTAAATCGCCAACCCTCAATGAGCAAGCGTGGTGATTACTGCTCAAACCTTCTCCGTGTGAGAGGCTTTGTTCAGAAGTGGGCACAGATTGGTAATGACATAGGTGTTTAATGAAATAAAACAAATTTGTTTTTAGGACTGTCACAGTGAACGCAGTGGACGATGAAATATAACGATTTCATAATAACATCTATACCACTTTCCCGCCATTTATAATATTTATTTGCCGACTTTTTGTTCATCTCGCTTCTTCTTGAGATTTAGTACATATTTGAGACGGCTCGCTAAATAGTTGTCCGGATACTTGATTAACGGAAGTTTGATCATTCCTCTACCCACTTCCACATTTGGCTTCATATTTCTTCGTATTTGGTACATGTCTATCAATTTACTGAAGTAGCCATAAAGATACCATTTTACCTGACAACCATACAGAAGAATTTTAAACAGTGACTTAAAATGTATGTAGATACTTATAGCTATACCTACATAATAACCTAAATGTTGGTTTGCTTCTGTTTTTACCTATTCATATTTTTGTATCTACTAGATATTCACCGAAATAGGGGTCAAGATGCACATAGGCAGGTATTTCATGTAAAAAAATAATTAGGTATAAGAAAGATTGATCATAATTATTATTTGGTTGTTGTCCAAAAATCTAAATGTCGTCCATAAGTTCCACAAAGTTATTTAATCTCATTTATATTGATTTTCACACGAAAATATGAATCTGCTTATCTATGAGATTTTTTTAAGGGAGGAAAATCATCATATTACTCCTCCCGCCCTAGGTGAGGCGAGAGGGAGTTAGACTCTTACCGTCTTATTACAAAAGTTCGACTTAGTACTGGTTTAAACCCGGACTATAAGATCTACGTTTGTTACGGTATCAAAGGTAGTACCAGGACTAAAATTTGTTCCAATTATAAAACAAAACTATGCGGAGATCAGCTAGTACCATAGAAAGTCCATAGTCCCACAGATAAAAAACATAAATAGCATTCTTTCATTCGTTCACTCAGGATTCACTTGAAGCAACGTTCCGTTCGTCTAAATATTGTTTACAATAACGCCTGAAATGCTTAAATAATTATGTATCAACACAAAATTATATCATAAATTGTTTTTTGTTTGTGTTACAATATAATGAACAAGCACAACTTGTATTTTGACGAGCTTTTTATAACCAAGTTGTCATATTTTTTAACACCTCTAGCGTGAAATGGAGCGACTTATAAGAAGGCGCCAGAGCACGAATCACGAAACAAATATTGAGTCTTTTTTTATTAAATAAACATTATTGTTTATTGTGACTGACCGGAAATGGAACAACAACTGTACTTATACCGAAAGTTTTCGTCACTCAAGTCAAAGGGATTTACACGATGGCGATGTCTATACGATCGCCGAGACGTCTCTAACATGTCTAAATATTCCAAATCTTTTAAATCCATAACATCAATCGGTTCAATGTCCATTTCACAATTATAATAATATAGAAGATACACGTAAATATTTCTGATAGCTAACCTCAAATAACTTTAGTACCGAAGTTAAACTAGGGGTCTCGGCGGTTTAACTTTAGTACCATAGATAGTTCCGGAACTAGTGATAAACTTTGTTTTTTAATAACGTTTTATTTAGTCATGGTTTAAGCCTAGTATTAATCCTGGTACTAAAAAAAGATCGGGTTTTGTAATAAGACGGTTTGTGACTAAAAACCATATCGTTCCTACTCTGCTTCGAACCAGAACCCCGGCAACCCATTAAGTCTTCTGCAGCTTCGAAGCGATCATACCTACTACTTAGGTGTGGGTCTATCTGAGGTGGTCCGATGGGTATTCATGTAGCGATAAGAATGAATTAAAAAATAAATTACTTTATGGTTTACCTTCGTTAAAAGATTTTCTGCCATTGAATGGCCGCCGCCGACCGCGTCCGTGTCAGGTCCTTGCAGGGCCTTAAGCATGCGGTCTATGGTTGAGAAAGTTATCATCACATCTGGAATGGTCACTTCCAATGACAAGGCTTCATCATCACCATAGACCACAGTGAATAAAGTCAGAAGCATAAATGTTGTCGCTGCAAAAAATCTTTTGGTTAAAAGATTATTGTAGGTACCTAGATAGACCTATTTACCTACTTCGTTACACTAAAGACGAAAATAGGGAGATATTTAAAAAAATTGATAGGTTTTTTTTTCTTACGTTCCAGTACCGAATGCCTAGTAGATAAATAGGGGGTCATTTAAAAAATAATACTAGTTTACGCGGTTTTCATAACCCAGCTGAAAGTTGTTATTTTATTTTGTGTTCAGGAAGAAAAAATAATAAAAAAATTCTGTCACGTCTAGTTTGAAAAATATTTATTTTCTTGAAGGAAATATTAATTCTCTCCATAGCATTGGCGAACCAAATGGAAGGTAAACTTTTTCCCCTGATGACCACTGGAGTTAGATGATTGTACAGCTTTCGCAAAACACGTGAGGCATTTTATCTTAATTTGCAACAGGAAATCCAAAATAATGAAGATATGCAGTTTTTAACGAATCTACAATAGGTCTTCTCTTTTTTGAAAATATAAACTGTCCACAAACATAACAAAAACGGTCAGAACTTTGTTTGCACTTTCTGCTAACCATTTTAAATCAATACAAAGCAAAGTAACTGTCGTTTGAAGCGACCGAATAAACAATAAAATATCACCACCACGTCAGGTAGTTAAAAAAAACAATTGACTGCAGAGAAAATACCGACGTGATAAAATATTTCTGCTAATACTTTTAGGTTTAGGGAAGGTAGATTTTTTTTATGGCATAAGCCGGTAAACGAGCAGACGGATCACCTCATGGTAAGCAATGGGCGTCGCCCTTGGACACCTTTTTTTTTTTTGAGGGGGGAAAATCATCCAATGACTTCTCCCGCCCGGGTGAGGCGGGAGGGAGTGTCAGACTGTTACTGACTAAAAACCACCCCGTTCCTACTCCTGCACTTCGAGCCGGAGCCCCGGCAACCCGTTAAGTCTTCCGCGGCTCCGTATCGGCATCAGCCCTGTTAGGCCCCATCTGTGGTGGTCTGATGGCTCCTTGAGGCGCGCGCGGAACGCGACGCGCCGTACGCTCGGGCCTGGTTCTGGTCGGGCGGCGAGTCACCCGTGCTCGCCGTCCGCAGGCCCGTGCTTACGGTGGCCGGAGATCGTCTCGCGATCCCCGACGCCCGGAGTGTCTCTCGCGACGGCCGGGTCGTGAGGAGGTTCGTTCCCTCACGCGCTCCGCCTCCTCCTTAGCTAGCATGACTGCTTCGCAGAAGGAGGAGACGGCATCCCAGT